GGCGGCGGCTCCCCGCGGCAGCGTGCCGTTGTTCCGCAGCCCTCCTCCTCCTCCCCCCGCCGCTCCCGCCCCCCGCCCGCGCCCGGGGGGGCCGGTCCCGCTGCCGGAGCCGGGCCCCTGGCCGCGGGTGCGTGTCCTGCCTCCGTGGGGGTTTCCGCGCTGCACGCACGGGGAGGGAGGTTTGCTCGTGTGTGCGTGCTTGCACGCGTGGGTTTCCAAGCGGTTATGCTCGTGGGGGCTTCACGCGGGTGTTCGCACGTGGGAGGCCGTGCACAGCGATGCACACGCGTCTTGCACCTGGGTGCACGCTAGCATGCCTGCACACGCATGCAGGTGGGTGTTTGTCCACAGGGGAGCTTGCTCGCGGGTGTTTCTCCAGGAGCTTTTATGTGCAGGCGGGTTGCACGCAAGTGTCTTCACCGAGGAGCGCGTACACAGTGATGCCTGCAGACAGACGTGTTGCAGGCGTTGGCACAAGGCTGTACACGGGCATGTTTACGCACAACCGTGTTGCTTGCAAATGTTTGCACGTGAGAGGTTGTACGCTGCTGCTTGCACGTGGTTGCGGTTGCTCGTGGGTGCTTGCAGACATGCACAGGAGCATGTTTGATGTGGGTGTTTGCACACGAGTGTAGTGCATAGAGGGGCTTGCACAGGTGCATGCTCACATGTGGGCATGTTCACACACAAAGCATGTGGCATTTGTGCCTGCTGGTGCATGGGTATTTGTACACGGGTGTGCCTGCAGACGTGTGTTGCATGCAAGGGTTTGCACACAGGAGATTGCATGCTGCTGTTTGCACATGATGGTCGTTGTTCATGGGTGCTTGCAGACATGCACAGGAACATGCTAGCTTGTGGGTGTTTGCACGCAAGTGTGGTGCATAGAGGGGCTTGCACAGACACATGCTCACACGTGGGGACACTCACACACATTTCCATGGGTAGTTGCACACAGGCGTGCTGGCGCACAAGTGTGATGCACGTGGGGCTGCAGCTGCCAGACTTCAGCTTGGCCCCCGGCTTCTTTCCAGCCTGGGCCTCTTCAGGGTTTGAGTGCTCCAGGAGCAACTGGCGCCGTGGCTGCAGTGCTGGGGGGCCGCTGCCGGAGCAGGCCTGATCGTTCTTCCCTGTGGCTCTGGCTGCTGCTGCAGCATTGGCATCGCTCTGCTCCAAGTCCATGAATGGGAGGCTGGGGCTTGGGAGGGGACCCGGGGGGGGACAGGACATGCCCACTCGAGGGTCCACACTCAAGTACTGCCCCTGCATCCCCACATATCCTCGTGCTGGCTCCATCCTGCTCCCGACCACGCAGTAAAGCCCCAAACCATTTTCCCCCAATATTTTTTCCCTTTGCTGGATGCTTTTCAGCCCAAAAGTTGGGAAACACAAGCAGCCAAGAGGATTTTTTTTTTCCCACAGGACAGGGAAACGATGTCATGGGACACTGACACCCTTTTCTCCCCCACCATCAAGCAAAGCAAGGAAAAATAAATTAAAGCAAAACTGCAAATGCCCATGCATGTTCTCTCCAAGCCTGGTATTTTTCCACTGGAAACAACCCCAAAAAGCTGGGGGCGGGGGATGCTTTTCTCTCCCGTGCCCCTATCCCTGTGTTTTGCACTGGGGAAGCCCAAACTGGTGGCTTTGCTTGCAGCCGGTAAAGCAATTTTGCAGGTGGTTTGGCCAGAGCTGCTGGTGCGTGCCAGTGGGTTGGGGCTTTAACCCACTCCCGGCATTAAAACCGGGCTTTGAAAGCCAGCAGTTTTTTCCAAGTGTGTCTTTACTGTTTGCTTGGACGTGAGCATCTTGGTGACACCAGCAGGCTCAAGGATGCGTTGCAGCATCCTGGGATCTGTGGGTTTTGCCCTTGCAAAAATCAAACCTCCTTCGCCCAGGGCATGTCACCTAAGGATGTGGACGGTGACCCACAGTCCATGGAGCATCCTCCTGGCATCCTCCTCCTCCAGCTCTGGGTTTCCAGCCTGGCCTAGGGTGCCTGGCCATGCCCAGCAGACCCTCTTAAATCCATCCCCAAAGGGCCCCCATCTTCGGGGTGGGTCAGACAGAGGCAGGTTGTTGCCCTGTGCCATGAGCTGAGACCTGGAGACTCATTGCATGAGTGGCTGCAGGCGCTGGGCAAGCACAGGGCAGCACTGCTGCTCCATGGCAGGCACCAGTGTGGCTGAGCTGTCCCCCCTCCCTGCACCTCTGCACATGGCCACGTCCCTGCAGCTTGACCCAGCAGCCCTTGGAGCACAAGGTGAAGCCTTTTGGGGCAAAACTAACCATTTGGGGGGGGGGCGGGGGAAAGACCTTTTTTCCTTTGGCTGGGCTGGCTGGCATTGCTGGGGAGCTGTGCCATCACAACTGGCCATGGTGCACAGAATGCCAGCTCCATCCTGGCAGTAGCATCAAACTGTACTATCATGGAGTCACAGAATATCTTGAGTTGGAAGGGACCCATAAGGATCATCAAGTCCAACTCCCTGCTCCTCACAGGACTACCTAAAACTAAACTGCATGACTAAGAGCATCGTTCAGACGGTCCCTGAACTCTGACAGGCTTGGTGCCATGACCACTTCCCTGGGGAGCCTGCTCCAGTGACCAACCACCCTCTCAGTGAAGAACCTTTTCCTAATGTCCAATCTGAACTTCCCTGATGCAGCATTTCCTCGTGTCTTATTGCTGGTCACCAGATAGAGGAGATCAGCACCTCCCCGTCCGCTGCCCCCCTTGAGGAAGGTGTAGACTGCAATGAGGTCACCCCTTAGCAATGAGGTCACCCCTCAGCCTTGTCTTCTCCAAGCTGAAAAAGCCAACTGACCTCAGACGCTCCTCATAAGTCTTGCCCTTGAGACCCTTCACCGCTTTGGTGACCCTCCCCTGGACACACTCTAACAGTTTGATGTCCTTCTTCTATTGAGGCACCCAAAACTGCACACAGGACTCAAGGTGGGGCCACACCAGTGCAGCGTAGAGTGGGACAACCACCTCCCTTGATGGGCTAGCGATGCTGTGCTTGAGGCACCCCAGGACACGGCTGGCCCTTTTGGCTGCCAGGGCACACTGTTGACTCATATTCAAATTGCCATCAACCCAAACCCCCAGATCTCTCTCCACGGGGCTGCTCTCAAGCCTCTTGTCTCCCAGTTTGTACATATAACCAGGATTACCCCCTCCCAGGTGGACAATCCGGCACTTGCTCTTGATAAATTTCATACAGTTGGTGATTGCTCAGCTCTCTAGTCTGCCCAAATGTCTCTGAAAGGCCTCTCTAGCCTCAAAGGACTCCACAACTCCTCCTAGTTTAGTATCATCGGCAAACTTACTTAATGTACATTTGACTCCTGCATCCACATCGTTTATAAAAACATTAAAGAGCGCTGGTCCTAAAATTGAGCGCTGGGGAACCCCACTGGTGACTGGCCACCAGCCCGATGTGACCCCATTTACTGTAACTCTGAGCCTGACCCCCGTCAGCCAGTTGCTCACCCAATGTATTATGGACTTGTCTAGTTGTGTGCTGGACAGTTTATCTAGAAGGATACTGTGAGAGACAGTATCAAAAGCTTTGCTAAAATCCCCAAACACCACATTACTGGCTTCCCTTGGTCAACTAGATGGGTGACCTTGTCATAAAAGGAAATTAAGTTGGTTAAGCAGGACTTTCCCCTCGTGAACCCATGCCCATGCTGGCTATGACCAATTGTCTCTCAAGTGCTTTTCAATAACTCCCAGAATAACCTTCTCCATAATTTTACCAGCACTGAAGTGAGACTGACAGGCTTGTAATTAGCAGGGTCTTCTTTCTTACCCTTGTGAAAACAGGGACAATATTTGCCAGCTTCCAGTCAACTGGGGCCTCTCTGCACTCCCAAGACCATTGAAAAATAACGGAGAGAGGTCTCACGATGACATCGGCCAGCTCTTTCCATACCCTGGGATGAATCCCATCAGGCCCCATAGCCTTATGCGCATCCAGCTGGAGCAGCAAGTCTCAAACACATTCAGGGTCGGCTGGGAGTTTATCATCCCCCCAGTCATGGTCTTCCAACACAGGGCTCCAGGGGTCCCAGAGCCCATCATCAGTGTTGAAGACAGAGGCGAAGAAGGCATTAAACATCTCCGCTTTGTCTATGTCCCTGTTTGTGAGGTGACTGACCCCATCAAGCAACGGACCAATGTTATCTCCAATCCTCCTGTTGCCTATTTAAAAAAGCCATTTTTGCTGTCCTTCACAGTGCTGGGCAGCTTGAATGCTAATTGAGCTTTGGCCACATGAATCTTCTCCCTAAAGTGGCGAAGACACCTCTGTAGTCCTCCTGCATCATCTGTCCTTGCTCCCAATGTCCGTACGCTTTCCTTTTCCACCTGAGGCCTAGCAGCAGATCCCTGCTCAGCCACGCTGGCCTTCTGCCCCTCTGGCTTGACTTCCCACACTTACCAAACCGTGCCATGTCAATGCTCCACTTGGAGCCTGGCTCCGGCCCTGGTGGCACTGCTGTGGTGTTGGTGTTGCCGCAGCAGCTGGCTGGGCTCCTCAGCATGGGAGCACAGGGGTTGCTGGTGAGCTGGTGGTGGGGAGAAGCTCATTAGAGGCAGAAGGTTAATTATATCAAACAGGTCTGGGGAGCAGGTTGTCTTTGGGCCATCCTGAATCGCAGCTGTCTGCCATGTTCTTGGGGTTTGGCAGTGCCAGGGATGCTCCCCCCTGCGCTGGTCCCTTACTGGGCTGCGAAAAAGAGCAGGCAAAAGGAAATTTAAAAGCTCTCTTGATTTAATCTGTTCATCTGCATACGAACACTTCCTTTTCTGACGCCCCAACTGCTGCGCAGGCAGAGCTGGAACGGCTGACCCCACCGTGGTGGTGCCGACACCGAGGGCTGCCCTGTGCCCAAGGTAGGGGCTTTGCCAGAGCGAGGGGGGGATGCGGGGGACTGGCATGGCACTGGGGGCTCACGGGGGCACCAAGTGCTCCACACGAAGGCAAAACCCACCTGAAGTGACACCTGCCATTTCTGGAGGGCGCAGTGAGAGAATGATGCCCTCTCCAGCTCGGCAGTGGCAGGAATGGCATTTGGCATTGCTGGGCTATGCCAGGCAGCAGGGGAGGTTGGGGTAAGTGCCTGCATCAGGTGCCCTGGGGATCCGAGGTTTACAACAGTGAGAAGTAAAAGGGTTATTAATTGCAAAACATCCTAAAGGGGACGTGGTGGCTGTCCCTCCTTGGGGGTCAGAGGGCAGCCTGTGCAGGCAGCTGCCCAACACGCTGCCCACTGAGCTGCTGCTCCTGCCCCGGGGAGGCTCCGGCTGCACTGGCTGTTGCTAGCCTCAGCACCTCGAAACATCAATCCTACCGCTGCTTCCACAGTAAAAACAATTTGTGCATTGGGGTTGTACGCCAGCACCGCTGGACTCGCAGCCTCTCTCCTTGGCTGTTTTCGGTGCTAGCGGTGTTACCACAGTGGGTGATGCTGTGAGCAGCACTGGGTGTGGTGTTGCAAAGGATGCAAATCTTGCTGCCGGCCACCTTCCCCCCGCCCTGCACCAGGGACACTTCCTCCTCTGCAGCTCAGTGCTGGGCTGCTGCCAGCAAGCCCCAGTGCTGTCGTAGAGGATTTGCAACCATGGGCTGGGATGGCAGCGTGGTCTGAGTCCTGGTTGTGGGGAGGGGAAAGCAGAAGCCTTGCCCATGCAGTTTTACAACCTTAATGGTAAAATGGATGCAAAGGGCATCCTGCACCCTGGTTGGTGTGTCAAACACCCTCTTCCTCACACCGCACTTGCATCTGCTGCCAGTGCAGCCACTAGGCACTTCCAGGCTGGGGCTTTGCTGCTGCAATGGCTTCAATAGGGCTTGGCTGCTGTGGGTGGGGGGAAGCTGCTGGGACCCCATCCTTGTCCTGCACCCGGTGCATGGGAAAGAGCTGAGGTCCCGGAGGACATGGGTAGGGGCTCTGGGGAGCTGCCCAGGTCCCAGGTGCCTTTTGCAGGAGAGGACCACGGTGATGTCTACCCCACTGCTCATCGCCCTTGTCCTCTGCCTCACCACCTCCATCCAGCAGGCTCAAGGTAAGGAGGTGTCCCTCTTCCATCCCAGTGTTGGGCTGGGCGTTTTTGGGGCCGTTCAGGGCTCCTGGGCTGGGGTGGGATGAGGAGTGGGGCAGGGTGCAGTATGCTGAGGTTCAGCTCCCGAAATGGCTCCATCAGAGATGGTGAGCAATATGGATGCCCTGGACAAGGAGCTGCAGCAGGGCTGCGGCAGTGCCCTCCACGCCAGGAGGAGGTGAGTGCCGGCTCCTGCCCCGCTGTCCCCCAGACCACGCACATCCCCCAGACCCACAGGGGCCTAATTTTGCTGGACCCTGCCCTGAACACCCTCCCTGTGCAGGTCAAACCAGCTGGAAGAGATACTTGCCCGCCCAGAGAAATACAACTTCACAGGCAGCACGATTGAGATCTACGTGTTCAAGTTCATGACTGAGCACTTCAGAGGGTTAAACCTCAGCAGCAGGATGGTTGGTCCCCAGAATGATGCTGGGGCTATTCCCAGGGATGCTGGTACCCCCTGTCCCCCTCCATCCCTCCACCCCTGGTGGAAGGTGCCGGGGGGGATGCTGAGGTGGCTGATGCTTGCCCACCGCTGGGTTTCCATCATCCTCTAAGGATGCTTTACGCCAGCAAAGCCTCCTGAGATGCGGCTCTGCTGGGGTGCCACAGGCAGCTAAGGCTGCAGGTCCCCAGCACTGTCATCAGGATAAATCCAGGTGCTTCTAAAGTCAGGGGGTGTTCTGCAGACGAGAGCCGGGATTTCTATCCTGAAGCTCTTCTGATGTATGAAAAAGGAAGCCCTGGCCCCCACCTCCCTGTGGTGGAAAGGTAGAGGGAAACCGCGGTGGGGTGCATGCAGGGCGACTTCCCCATCCCGGCATGCGGGGGTTGAGCAGTGGCACTTCCCCCAGCTGCAGGGCTGCCCTGCTGGGGATGTCTAACTGCTCTGGCCTGAGGCCCCTTCCTGCAGGACAAGGCAGGTTTTGCAGGCAGGGGTACCTGCCTACCAGCTGGGACCTCCGGCTTGGGACCTGGGAGCAGAGACCGTCTGGGGGAGCCCACCAAGATGTGAAATCCCACTGGGAAAGTGTCCTGGCACAATGCCATCTGCCCCATGCTCGCCCCATGGTGGGGCTGGCAGGACAGGTGTGCCCACCCATGGGTGATGGACCCCCCTCACCCACAGCCTTCCCATGTGCTACGGGCTGGCAGGGCTCCGATGTCAAGACAGGAGTGGCTGCCATATCTGCGCGTCCACAGGCACCGCAGCAGAGCTGGAGCTGCTGCTGGGGCCAGGGGATGCCGCAGGGCCACGCCGGTAACTGGGGTGCCTGTGCTGGGGGGGGCAGCTGGGGCAGCACCCTGACCCCCCCTGAGCCAGCCGAGCACAGAGCGGCCAAATCCATCTCTCCCCTGCCCGCTGGTGCAGGATGTGAAGCGGGGCCGTGGCAGGAGGCTCAGACACGCCATGAACTTCCCGGCAGAGCTCATGAAGGGTGTCTGGGCACGAGGGGTGGAGCAGGAGCTCGTCTGCATCTACATCCACAGCCCCTGCTTCTTCCAGGTGAGCCACAGGTCCTCGCACGGACCCCTGAAGCACCCTCAGCCAGCAGCATGTCTGCCCCATCACCCACCCCCAACTGAGATGCTCAGGGGGCGGGTGGTGGGATGTCCTGGGGACTCAGGACTCTGCCCACAGGAACCTGGACTCTTGCAGGATGCCCACAACAGCTCTGTGCTGAACAACAACGTGCTGGGAGCCTTCCTGCCGAGCAGGCACGTGGCTGGGCTCAGCCGTCCCGTGGAGATCCAGTTCTGGCATGACACAGTGCTGGTGAGCAGGGCTCCACCGCGAGCATGAGCCGGGGGGCTCCCCAGTGCCAGTGTTTCCCCTGGAGCTGGGGAAGGAGAAAGTGTCCCCTCTTTGCATTGGGACCAGAAGGTTTCTGGGGTCCCCGGGGAGCAGAGAGGGTCCCCAGCTCTCCCCCTCTGTCCCCTTTCCACCAGGATGCCTCCAATGCCACCTGCGTCTTCTGGCAGCCTGGAGCTGGTAAGCATGGCTGTGGCCAGGATGGGGGCAATGCCAGCTCCATGCCACTCCAAAGGCACCGCCTGTCTGCCTCCTGGGCAGCCCTGGCAGGGCTTAATGTCCCCATCCCCTGGCCGCTGTGCCACCCTCCAACGGCGGCTCTCCAGCAGGCGCGGACAGCACCGGCAGCTGGAGCAGGGAGGGCTGCAAGACCACACACAGGGAGGGCACCGTCATCTGCCACTGCAACCACCTCACCTACTTCGCCGTCCTGCTGGTCCACAGCCCTCCTTCCTCCTTCCCTCTTCTTCCTTCCTTCTTCCCTCTTTCACCTCCCCTCTTCCTTCCTTCTTCCTCCTACCCCCATGCTCCTTCCTCCTTCTCTCCTTTCTGCTTCCTCCTTCCTCCTCCTTCCTTCTTCTTTCTTTCCTCCTCCCCTCTTCCTCCTTCCCTTGTTCCCTCCTTGCCTCTTCCTCATTCCCTCTTCCTCCTTTCTCCGTCTTCCTTCCCTATTTCCCTCCTTCCCTACTTTCATCTTTCTCCATCCTTCATCCTCCATCCTCCATCCTCCATCCTCCTTTCTCCTTCCATCCTTCCATCTTCCTCCTCCCTGGAGCTGTGGGTGTAGGTGGGTGTAGGGGTACAGGTTGTATGTGGGGGTACAGGGTGTATGTGGGGGTACAGGGAGTATAGAGGGTGTCCTGCAGGAGAGGGTGGCCAGGGGGGTGGTTTTGCAAGGCCCCCCACTTTCCCAGTGGGCCGGAGCTCATGGGACCTGCGCCCCGGCTCACCCCCTCCCTCCCTGCTCCCCGCAGCCCCCCG